CTTTTTCCACTAAATTATCTTCAACATGGACGTTTTCTAAGACAGCATCTTGACTTGCAGAAGAAGTTATATTTGAAGCTTCATTGGATAAATTACATTTTTGCACTAATTCGGCGATTCTCTTCTTATCAGCTATTTATTCCTCAATACATCCTTCAGCCACTGCAGCCGACTTCCACCCACCGTACCGTTTCAGGCTTAGTAAGTCTCCTCCGTTTTCTGCGAGAAGTGTTGCCGAGCTACGTCTTAGAGAATGACCAGTATAACACTAAGGATTTTCTGATTTGAGATAATTAGCCACGACATATGGTACTTTACTAATAGTATTGTGCACAATATTTTGTTTAATATGTTTACCTTTACGGTATCAAATAAATAGTTTTATAATGTCAGTTGGCCTATTAGCTAAGTATTTTTCAATAACATTAACCCATTGTAGCTCAACAACAACAACTTCCTTGATGTTCTGTTCTTTGAATTAAGAATATTTATCATGATAATATCATCGCAAACATCTAAATCGTCTAGGAGCATATTGCATATTTCATCTGTTCTGCAGGCACAGGCAACACCAATTACCATAACAGCCTAAATATCATTCCATTAAAAAATTAAACACAATCTAATAATGAGAAAGTATACCTTTTTTGATAAATATTCGTCATCAGGAGCTTCAACTATAAATTGGTCAATTTCTTCCTTTGTAAATACTTTTGATTTCTTAGGTTTATAATTACTGTTTTTTCGTTTTAAAAATGCTACAAGCTTGAAGAACTCTGAAATGTCAATATTTTCTTTTATTGTAAGTGTCGATTGTAGCAAGGAATTATTTGCCCACAATGTCGATACTTTTTTGCCTTCAGATTTCTCTTTGAAATACGCTAATAATACATTTTCTGTTACTTTAGCAACTTTCCTTTCTTCACACCATGTTTTCAGTTGGTTATATGCATTCATGTACAGTCTCTTTGATTTTTCTGGCAATAAATCACTACTTGTACTAGCTGCCACCACTCTAACTTCAGGCGGGGTACACATCATCTCTAAATCATCATCACTTGAATTTTCACCCATTTTTCAATCAATTATATTGACGTTTTACTTATATAAGATCTTTTAACTTCTTCAAAATGACATCTAAGTTTGAATTAAAACCGCATTTGGCAAACTGACAGCAATAAAAATCATTGTACAGTGCTTGGTTGCCATAGAAACGCCGGCAAACGTTTTCATGGCCTAAGTGATGTTGCGCGCTTATCATCGACATCGCGTATTCAACATGGAAACTGTACCGTTTCAATTTGACATGCAACAATTCATAGCTGCCTTGGGTTATCATATTACCAAGGAAATTTTTCTCTCACTAGAATGCAGAATTGAGAAATTCTAAATTCTGAACATACAGAAGCGATGAGAGAAGTGGAACATTGAAATATATCAAAAATGCAATGAGATATTTCCTAGATTCATATCAAAATTTAGCACATGCCAAATTTTTACATAAATAAAGCCAGTCTGATTAGAAACACGCTCCACTCTACTTGATATTCCGATATATTCAACAAATTGTTAGAAAATTACTAATGCCAAAATTGAAATTGTTGATATATCAATGTTAGTAACTCTAAAAAATTCTACAAGACTACTGGGGGGCGACCATAGGCTAAAGGAGGGTCGAATCACACCAGCATTCAACAATCGATCAATTTCTGTTGATAATACTCCCCACTGACGGTATGGTATTCTGTAAGGGGCCTTGCAAATAGGTTGGGTCCCAGGGTTATTCCATGCTCGACTTTCGTAGTGCTAGTGAGTGCTTCACTTTCTCCCAAGAAAAGGTCCTGATATTTCTTCAGTAGATCCAGTAAATTATTTCTGGTTGTAGAGTCCAGGTGTTCCAGCTCAAAACCATTTTCATTCCAATAGTTTCCTTCCAAATTCATTCCTCCTATTGTTGACTCCATTGTATTTCTCCTGTACCATCTCACAAGCGACTGCTCTCACTATATTCAGTTTCTTGTTCAGGGTGACTTCTTTCAGGGATGTGTTGACCACTCTGATCCATAATTAATCACTCCGAGTTGCCAAATATTGCATTAGCGCTGTGAACTCCATTTATTCCGAGGTCAACTACTTCACTGACGATTAACTGACTTTCCACTCTTTTCACAAAAATGGCTGGTACCATGGTCTCGAATCGGTCTGGTGGTACTACTTTTTCTTCCATCAGGATGTCAGTCTCCCATTTTGGCTTCGAAGTACTGTTTTCTAACGTTAGGTTCCTGGGTGGGGTGTGTCCTCGAACTGACTCAGTTCATCTACTGATTTTTCTGATTCCACCATTTTTTCCTTCTTCAATTTTTTCCTACTCTTGTAGTAATTGGTTCCTTCTCACTTAACCCTTCCATGATCTAAATCATCCTTCATACCCATAGTTTTGCTACTTTGTGGCGTGTCTTCAATTTTCCTTTCACAGAGAACATCTAATTCCTGTTACTTTTGGACTTTTTCTTTCTTTGAAGTGCTGTTTTCTTTTTGCTGGTTTGATAGTTGTGAACATACTCTTGTTCACTTCTAAAAATAATATGACATTGTGTGGTAGTTGAAATAAAATAACAATTACAAATAATAAGGGGTCAACGCATCTTGTTTTATATACCCGCTACCAATGGAATGCTCTCTAATAGTTTCGAATATTATGTACTGTTCTAGAAACCTCTAGAGCGCGAAACTTCCAGCCCATATGTCTTGAAAAGCACTCCCTTAGGGTAAAAAGGGAAACTTTTTTCTTCGATGAGGGATTAAAGGGCTACCAAACCATTAACTCCCATGATCGCTCAACAATGATCTGCAATATTCTAGAATGTTTCCGGGTATTCTAGACTATTGCCGTTGAGATCTCAAGAATTCACAGTCACTTCTTTCTAAAAGGTTACTCTATTAGATTTTGAAATAAAAGTCGGCTTTAAACTTCAAAACTACTATACTCAATAATAAAGAAAAATGATACAACACAATAGTTAAAGGAAAATACCCAAAAAGAAATAACAATAAGCAAATCTCGATAACAAAACTCAAATTTAGTGCCTTCGCCGTAAATTACTACAATATACGATGACTGTGATACTTTAACTTGACCGATAATTTCTGACCGCTAAATAACTATGACTCAATTATTAGGTGCACTCTGTAAAGTGATTTTTATAGTTAACTCCTTCCCAAAAATTCATCAAATGGTGATTCTACATGTATATTTAACTCACCGCAGTTTTTTTATCTCGTCCCGGCTTCTCCTGTAGGTTACCCAAAAATATATCGTAGCAATACTTCACTTCAATTATAACTTGTTTATACACGTTTTCGGCTTGCTGAATTATTATTTTATTTGATATACGCACTACACTGCCCGATTCCCACTCTAATGTAACCCGTGTTAGGAATCACACGTTACTCGACTTCTGAAGGTTGTCGTTCGTAGGGGTGCGACAGCTGGTTAACGGAAAAAACAGATTTCTTTTTAAACACTTCTTTATTCTTACGACAGAATAAAAGACTATCTAAAATCGCACCCACTGCCTCTTTTCAAATATTTAAACTCTTCAAAGATTTAATTAACAGGAAAACTATTTCCCAAAAGAAAATACCGTTCTTGGTCGACCGTCGAAAGAACCCCTTCCAGCCCAAAGATTTCGCGAACACCATGAGACCACTGCCTCAGGCAAAATCACTCCGAACACACCTTAGTAAGATGGTCGCTAATTTTTCATGCCGTTCTTAGTAACTGTCGCTCACGCGCGACGGAGGTCACCAGAAAACCTATTTCGCTCAACTTGCAATCTGAAGATCTCAAGGTTCGAGAACTGATATATTTGTCTGCCCGTTTGGTTGAATTCCGATAAGTAAGTATTTCTTATGACGGAGCGTCCGGCGAAAGAACCAGCAAACTTTTTATAAACACTTTTAAACACTAAAAATGTGAAACGTCTCTTTTTGTTTATCATTGTATTTTTTCAATATGAACCCTTCATATTCCTTATAATATAATGGCAGACAATAGAATATTCACAAAAATATTCCCAAAGAGTAAGCTGATCAGACTCTTGTCTCCGAAGCTCCGACACAGTAGGGAGTGCGCGCCAGCATTATCAACCAGTGACCGTGGGGTTGGGGATCATTGCGTGCAAGAATTGTGTTTCCTAAGTAGACGTAATGAGTCAAGAAAATAAAATAATCAAAACAACTATTCATCCTAAAACACAAGAGTGTTTTGGATAAAGTCGGCAGAGTTCGAAGGAGAAATGTCGTTATTTCATATATTTTTTCTCATCTTTTCGGACGATATTCGTCACACCGGGAGCTGACCTCCACGACGAATATCGTCTTGCTCTGATTGTAAAGAATATCTACATCAGGCTTATGAGCCTGATTGTGAGGAATGAATAGTCCCAATAAAGTCAGCACTTCTTATTCTCCATAATGGATTCAATATCCCCTGAAGCGTAGAGCTACACCGGTATCTTGTCAATACCGCAAAAGTGTCGTGGTAATAAAGCACTTTTAGGGCCGTGTTATGTCGATGGATATAGACTGAGATCACATACGCTGAACATGCTGACAAGTGCATTAGGATTTCAGGCCTAGCGGCAGGCCCTGCATCTTGTGTCAGGATCCTCTGTACACATCACGCGACTGCGGTAGACTGCCTAAGTTGTTGAAGACATCATCTTAGCAGACCATGATGAACCCCTGTTTACGACTTCACCCTACTCGACCTGAAAAAAGCGAAGGTCTTCAATGTTGTTAAAGTAGGCCCATGCATTGGTTTATCTTTGTGTTGCTGCAGAAGTGAATTGACCTCTGCGGCTTCTATGTGGGCCTTTCGCGAAACGGGTTCCAACTGGACGAAAAAGTTGTGAATGTCGAACAACACTAAACTATTTATTATTATTACGGTCACTATTATTTGAAGAACAAACGGTAATAGCAATAATAAATTAATATTCTTGAAATATTGTTACAATTTAATTTATTCATCACACTATTAAACTCGTGTCCTGAAAAAAAGTGAAAGAAAAAATACAAACAGATTCCTGTTCTTAGGAGGTAAAAGATACTGTGAGATTCTAGAAAAGTAAAAAGGTTGTTTATAATTAATAATTGAGTAAATTAACTTCCTTTTCGAAGGGTGTCACAAGTGCTCTATACGCCCTATGTACGGATTTATCATCAACTAAGGAAACTATCTCAACTTCTATTTACGAAATGAACAACATTCTCTCACATGTTACTGATACCTAACAAAATGATATTTATAAAAAAGTTTACAAATATAACAAAAAATTTTGGTCAATTGTAAAGTTAATACTTAAAAATTAATACCTTCGTAGTTGGGACACCCTGGCACCTAAAAATAAAATAAGGAATCAGATATGGAAAGCAATCACTCCTAAAGAAAATAAATAACATATCAAATCAGGAATAAAATGAATATATTCATATGCAAAATTCCATCGAATTAAATTTATATTTGCAGTTAATGTGAAAATCAAAGAAGCATGGCCTCACTTGATTTCAAGGTTAGGTTAGGTCCAAAGGGTTTATTGTGGCTCACACCTATTCATACTCGGTCAAATAAACCCAGCTTCTTAACGAAGCCGATTAGTTTGTATGATGAGTGGTCTTTCAGGTCAGATGGTAAGAGTACGGCTCTGCCCACCTGATTCGGTCTCCAGCGGGGCATCGTCAGCTACACCTGACGATGCCTTAGATTCAGCCGTGCAGGGCTTTTTCGCCTCTGGTTTTGGTGAATTATCACTTGAGCGCAAACGTTTGCTAACCTGCTCATGGGGGGGTTTGTTTCCCCACCTGAGACAGATTCTGCATATGCCGCTCAAAGATTTGGTGCAAGGCGGTTTTATAAGGTACCCCATTCTTGAGGAGACGACTCAGTCGTTTCCTGGCTGCACCACCAAACCTTTTTTTAAGTGATTTTAAGGTAGTGCCTTAAAACTGCAACATGATCTATTGGAGAAATTCAGGAGTTTCGATTTCTCCAACTCCAACATGATCTATTGGAGAAATTGAAACTCCTGAATTTCTCCAATAGATCATGTTGGTTTCAAATAATATATGTTTCATCGAATGGAAATAATAGTGTTTTTCCAAAACTTTCGATTATATCGGAAGTTGGTACCAATTTCCTTAATTCAAATATATCCTAATATATCCCATCGAAATGCTTAATTCATGCAATGCAATGCATATTATTCAATTTGTGAATTCTTCAAGACATTTTTCATGTACAATGCCCTGACACATCTACAAGTGTTTGGAAAATATTGAAATTGTTTTCAGATGCAGTATGGCATATTCTGTATACAATTATTGTTTGTTGAAAAAAATAAGTACAACTGAAAATAAAAACCAGTTGTATTGCGTGATTTAATTAGAATTTATTTCATTTGGTACACAGTACCAAATGATACACAGTACAGTTAACGATCAAATAGGAATATTTCTCGGTGGATTGAACATCTGATACGAATTAAGCAAGAATCTATGAAAACCTGTAAAATTCCACGGAAATCAGGTAATTGTAACCAATAAAAAACGTCCCTAAGTAAATTCAATGAAACGCTGGAGAAATCTAAGAGACTCTCAAACAGTTTCTTTTTGTTCAAATAAGTGACAACAGTCTACTCTGGGACTAGTTACTTCGAAATTGACCTGTTTGTTTTGAATGATATTTAGAACCCTAATACAGCACCTTTCAGACTCCAAGCTCACGATACATTTTTAGGGGATCATTGGATATTCACTAATAAAGGGATATCATTGGATATCCCTTTATTAGTGAATATCATGCCAAAATGAAAACTATAACCCTAGTGGAGGGTAATTTGCCAATAGATCTTGCAATAATTCAGATAATATTTAAATCAAACGCCGTAAAAAAAATGGGATAGGGAAATTCTGTATGATTTTTATTGAAACATTTTCATGATTAAAAAAGGTCATTTATATTATATAAATTATTTGGAGCATGAGAGCATCCTTCAATCGTAGTATTCAGCCATTTATTTTTGTACGTTTAATCTTACGTTTACAACCCTTGAGCCAAATAATTGGTACGATATAACAAAATTAATGACTATATGAAAAACCAATTTCACAAAAAGCCTCTAGTAAATTATCACCTTTGCATATAGAGATTACTTTCCTTAAAAATAAAATTAATGTTTTCCTGTCCCATTTTTGTATGGCGTTTGTTCGAGTGTCCCAACCCTCTTGGGTTGTTTTCTTTTTTCCACGATTTTAACGTGCCTCACCTACAACTGACATCATAATGCTGAAAATCATTTTCTGCTTCAAGACTATAGAAATCATATAGTTTCAAGAAGTTTCAAATGACCTCCCCCTGCCCTCTCAAGCACCTACATTGTACTCAATGCAACAAGTGCTTTGTAGTCATGTAAGCATATTTTTGTTACGATTATACTCGAGTTATCCAAGAGTAACTATACTCAGAAACATAACACTCTACAAATTGCTGTCACTTTTACGCAGGCCAATGCTAACACCAAAAGCGAATCAAGAACGCCTACTGATGTTGCCGGTTGGCAATAACCGTCATCCTTTAAAAGCGAGCGCTCATCAAAATTCACTTCAAAGCGCGTTTCATTTGGGAGCTAAATCAGTGCCAAAGGCGCGGTGTTGTTCCAGTACATGAAACTCTTGAAAGACAACTCTAATAGAGGAGACAATGCGAGGAACTTTAAAAGACCCGAGTATGTGCTAGACTCTATTAGATACTTGTGAAGAATCCAAATACGTACTGAATTCTATAAGATACTCTTGAAGGTATCACAGGTCTCAATAAATGAAATGAAAACAAATACAGAGGGTACACAAAAACAGGACATATTAAAAGAAAGTTCTACCGGTTTACTTTCTTGGGTAAGGAATTGCAATACTAACACCGGAGTCCTAGATAAATTCAAAACTGGAGGTCTCTAAAAAGGGCGTCCAGAGAGAATTGGCTGATACGAAAGTGGTATATTTGAAGAAGATTCCGAAACCTGGGAAAATCCGACAATCTTCGGTGAATACCTTGGCTTTTGCATTGAAAGCATTAAAAAACCATTTGACAAGTATATTAAGAACGTATTAGTGGCCAATATGCATATAGGTCAGTATGTCAATAGAAATACTTTATGTCGGGTCATGAAAAAGAAGAATATGCTTACAAGAACAAGGAAGAAGTATAAGTTGTTTTTTTTTGGATATTGATGGTGCATTTTAAGAGTGTCCTTACGAGTCATCCAAACGTTGAACAGACGTATAGTAATAACAGCTACAGGTGGATGGACTGCTCGGAACGAAAATTGGTATATCCCGTTATGAAGGAAACTGTCGTGGCACGGGTAGCAAGAGTTGTTCTAGGGGTAGTTGTTTCTATACTATTATGGAACATCATTATGGACGAGTTACGAATACTTCTGAACCATAATATATGTAAACTGTTGTTCTAAGCCTACAAAATTCAGAACAATTGAAATAATATACTAAGGGGAAGCATGAGCAGCAGACTCTATGCCTTCAAAATTTAGGGCAACTGAAATAATATACTAAGGGGAAGCATGAGCAGCAGACTCTGAATATCAAAATAAGATGAATCCAGGAAAAATTACTTGGCATAATTTTGAGGCGAAAAGATACAACTGTCAGGGAAGTTGAATAATGGAGTAATACTAGATCCCTGACTGACTGACATGGTCTCTTCAGAACGATGTGAACCGTTCTGAAGAGACCATGCCCAGTACTGATGATGGTATCAACCGACCTCTCAAATCTTCTAATGTTGTTGATTCTATCTGATACACTTCAGACTTCAAATGACCCCATAGAAATAAATCTACAGGAGTGAGATCCGGAGACCTTGGAGGCCATTCTGTAGGACCTCTTCTGTCAATACAGCGACCAGGAAAATGATCATCCAAAAATTGTCGTACTGGAGCTGCATAATGAGGAGGTGCGTCATCCTGCTGAAAAACTATTTCGTTTTCGAATAAATTTATATCTCCCTCAATTGTCCTATTGATGCACGGTATTATTCGATTCTCCAACATATACAAATATTTATCACTAGTCAAATTATCATCGATAAAAAAAGGTCCTATGATGTGGTCACATAAAATTTCTGCCAAATATTCAGTTTTTGAGGTCGAGTCTGGTCTCAACTTATAAGGAGAAATCTTATGTTTCTTCAGAATTCGTTGAATAATAGATGGTGGAACAGCTATTTCTCGAGATAAATCTCTGATGGAATTCTGTTTAAAATCTGGATTTATCTCAAAGTAGGCTAAAACGTCAATTTCTGTATCTTGAGATATTACAAAACGTTTTTTAGTTCTCTTCTCAAAAATGTTTTGTTTCTGAATCGACGATGAAGCACAGCAAAAAAAACTTCGACTAGATAATTCACGATACGGAAACGAATTGCTGTAGTGTTGGGGTGCCCTTATGCTATTTTTCTGGCAAACCAAGTAGGATTCTAACATATCACATTTTTCTTGATGGGAAAACGAAATTTCGAAAAATATTGAAACAGTAGTTGACAGTTACAATAATTTATGACATTGTCATGAGATATTGAGAATATTTGACAAATAGTATTTCAACAGAGTTTCAAAGGAATTTGATTACTTATAATAATTCCGCTTTATCGAATCAAACACATTTTTCCAACCTCAATAATATGACAACATAAATTATTTTTGTACTAGTTAAATAAATATTTCCACATAAGTAGCTTATTTTCAACTTTGGGAAGAAAGGTGATATAAGCTTTGTTGTTGAGAATGTTTTACGAATCGAAATGCATGTTGAAATATAGGGTGTTCCTTAAAAAAAATACCATTTTATGAAATATTTTGGAAACGCGACTGTAATTTTTTTATTTTCGGCATCGAGAAGGCCAATAAAAATGCTACTAGTTTGTCCGTTCAACCGAATTAGTAGCATCACTTGATTTGGAACACATAGATTTCGCGACATATGAAAGTTTTTTTATTAATACATATAATGAAAATTTGACTTCGCAGTTTGTTTGTGCTTGAAAAATGAATAAAAAACAGCCTCTATCCTTTTGCTACTCTAAACCTGTCAAATTTGACATTTTTCGAAAATCTTCAAAAAATCAGTTTTTTTTGTAAATTTCGAAAAACGCCAAAAAAGTTGCTCAGTTTACAATTTCATACCCTTGCTCGGAATTTGGACTCTCTACTGTCACTTCGACTTTTTTCCATTTTTTCGAATATTTCGCTTTATTTATTCGAACGAAACATGATTCAAATTTTATAATTTGGATTAATACTAGACTTCAATGTCATATCTTGCCCAAAA